CAGCTAGCAATACTCACATTCCAGTACTACTGCACACCCAGTTCCCTCAGGCAACTCTGAATTAAGCAATGTCAGTACTTCAGCATCATTAGCCACTGGGGGGGGGGGGGTTCAGGGGAGCTTGAGCAGATCAAGGTTCAGTTCTTGATCCCTGTGTGATGCTGGGCAAGTCAGTTATGTCTGTCTTAACCTCATTTTCCAATCTGTAAAATGGGGATAATAATATTTCCTCTCTCTGCCACCTTTTGTCTATCTTGTCTATTTATACTATAACCTCTTCATGGCAGGGACTGTCTCTTACTTAGTGTCCGGACGGCATCTAGCATAACCAGAGGCTTGATCTTGGGTGGGGTCTCTAGACTGGGGCTATGTAATGTAAAATAATATCCTCCCCCACCCCATTTCTTGGCCGTCCAATGCCAATAAGCCTGATGGGAGCTTACAAGGAGGAAACTGAAGGTATCTGCAACTTCCTCCTTGCATTATCAGTGACCATGCCAAACCGGTAAGAATATAGCATCATGCTAGCACCATTCTTTGTTCCTGACACACAGGCTTCTGTTGCTGTTCTCAGAGATCTAACACAATGTAAAATACAAAAGCAAATGTCCCAGATCAGTGGTTTTCAACCTGTGGTCCGCAGCCCCCTGGGGGTCTGCAGACTATGTCTAAGATTTCCAAAGGGGTCCACACCTCCATTCGAAATTTTGTAGGGGGCTGCAAATGAAAAAAGGTTGAGAACCATTGCCCTAGTTCAATATGGCTTGTCCAGTCAGTGGCTCTAGCTTTAACAAGCAGATCATTGTTCTTGGGAGCACGGCAGTGGTGCAGGCTCCCCGTGCAGAGCTCCAAATGTTCTGCGCTGAACACATGAAGAAGAGGAAGCAGCCTCAGAATGATCAACCACAAGATAAAACTGAAAGGATATGAGATCTGCCGGCTCATAGCTTCCGAGCACCCAAAAACAGCAGCTTGCATGCAAAACACAGATTTAAGAGGGAAAAAAATGCAGGCCAACACCATGCCGTAAAAATTAATCAATATAATAGAGGGAAAATTTTCTCCTTACAAAGAATTTGTGGGATAATGCAGGCACACACACGAACTCTCTCAACCTATGTTAGAAGGATTTTTAAAAGCGGGATTATTTCAGAGAGAGGGTAGTCGAAATGGTGGAATCAGACATTAACGGTGGAATCAAATAGGATGAATGGGACAAATTCATCCCTCGTGTAACTCTGCTGAAGACAATGGAGTTCCTACAAGTGGGGTGAGTTTGGCACATCGGATAGAAGCACCATGTGGACAGCAATAAAGAGAACTATACAGGATCAGACTTAGAAAAGGCAGTACAGGGAGGTGCTAGCGAAAACCTTCCAAGGAAACCCAATGCCATGTTTTATGATCTGTCAAAGATAGGTGGTTGTGGGTCTGTAGTTTCAAGTTATCTGACTGCTGGACAACTGCAGCCCCATCGACACTGTGCAGGCAGCATCAGCTTCCTATTTTGAGTCTTAAAAGGAAGAGAACTTGCTGAACATTAATTTTCATTAGTTAATAGACCATTCCCAGCCAGTTGCTAAAAGGCTCCTGTACATTTTCAGCAACACAGTCTCTACTAGTTATAATCATAACAACCACCACCACCACTCGCCTGCTTTATTTCTTTCACTTCTGTACAATTTAAACTAAAAAGGAGTGAATGCAAAAGTTGAAATGTACTGAGGGGAAGAAATAAAAATCAGCGCCAAGCAAATTTTATGACCTAAAAGCTTTGGATTTTACTAGCCTGCTCTGGTTTCAGATGTCATAAACCATACAGGTGTAACGCTGTCAGATTGCTCGGCACCCATGTGAACCTTATTATGTTAGACTGAACTGAAATCCAGTGAATATTTCCAAGTTTATAATAAATCCTCATAAAGAAACTGTCCATATTATCCCCATATACCTGCACATCTGTTCGGAAGCACATCTGTTTGAGAGAGTATAACATTAATCTTTTGAATTTGCAGTTCAGTATCCTTAAGTCTGACTGTAAAATTATGATAAAACTAGAAATATCTGTTCCTGTCTCCACCAGGAAATGTAAATCCCTCTTTGACTGCTATCGATTAAAGGAAAGAAGTGAAGCACTGTTATTTCCCCCCACCTCTGTCCCTTCATGTCATAAGAATCCCCTTCACTGTGATAAACATCCCACTGGTGGGCATTATCTTGGGAAGGTAAATGATACCAACTTGTAAGCAACATAAGGAATGAGTAAGTGCTGATTGGTCATTTATGTCATAGAGCCAGATGATTTAATACATACTGTCCTGGGTCATGAATTTGTCAGCTCCATAAACTAATAAGCGATTGCAAATGTTTAAATCAACAGACTGAGGTACACCAAATACAGGATTGCTGTTTATTGCCCTAAACCCCTTGCCCACACTCCTTACACATAAGCACAGTCCAGATGAAATAAATAAGGACCACGCACGTAAGGGCCAAGGTCTCGATCCTGCAAGATGCTGAGCACTCTGGCCTGATCCAGGAAAACACTTACACATGTGCTTAAATTCAAGCATATGCTTAGACCCACTAAAGTCAGTGGGATTGTTCATGTGCTTAAGGTGTTTTGCTGGATCAGGCTAGAAGATTTAGTACCTTACAGTTCAAGCCCTGAATGCAAGAGGAAAGTTTGAAGGATCTGGCCCTGACTTTGGCTAATCAAAGATAATTTTTGTATCTGTGACTGATATACTTGTATCATTTCCACATACTACTGTAACTTCTGGGAACACCAATCAAAAATTGTCCTTACTTCCTGAACAATATTAGCTGAAACCAGGGGGGACTAAGAAAGGTGATAACTTAAAAGATTGCCATGTCCCACAGGAATACTGCTCAGTTACTCAGCCATCCTTTTATCCAAGACTTTTAATGGTGAAAGTGACAACGGTCTACCTTACAATGATATTAAATTCCATAAAATGATGTCTTAGCTCATCTGTCTTTGTGCTACACAAAGGGGCCAAACTCTGCTCTCATTTAGACCAGTATAAATGTGAAGTTCTTCCTTTGATTTCAATGCATTTACACCAGTGTAACTCAGAGCAGAATTTGAGTCTGATCATTGATGTTTTGGTCAGACTCCAATGCACATGAACCATAGGTTGTTTAAAAAACTCCCACTGTTTCTGTGATTACATCATCCCAATTCACAAGTGAGGTCCTGCCCTAAACTCACTTACCCTTTCCCTACAGACTAATGCACCCAATAAACATGTCTTCTCTCTATTTGCAACTTCATAGCAGGCTATCAAACTTCTCCTTGAAATCAGTCCCAGCACTGTGTACTTAAATTCTCCTCCTGTCCCTGTATCACACCTCAACTGTTGCTGGTGTATGTATTTCCTATTGGGGTTGTATATCCAGAAAAAGGAAAAAAGAAATTGTTACAACAGATGACTACTGGAACTGCAAGCAAAGTATTAAATAAAGACATGATTCAGCATCTGCTCAGTGAATTAAATATATCCCAGGCAAAACATTAAAATGCATATGCTGAGGGATTAAACTAGGGAGAAGTGAATTTGTCTGGGCTAATTTCAAACCCACTTAAAACCCTACTATTAATCTGCTCAATTGATAGGTGGGTTTGCTATCCACTTAGGAGAGACTTTGTAGAAAGGAGGCGGAGACAGAAGGAAATTCAATGGAAAAAAAATAGGGTGAAGTAGTTGAGAAGAGAGAGGAGCAAAGGGAAAAGCAAACAGAGAGATTATGAAAAAAAATGAGCAAGCAATGGGGAGAGAGAAACTCTAAGAAGTAATGGAAAAGGGAAGCCTAGTTTGTATAGTGCCATATACAGGACACCCGCCTGTGTTAGTCAAGCTTTCTGGGGTGGGGGATCTTGCAACCCCTCTATATAGCACAGGCTTCTCTTTAGTTGGAAAAATATGGGGCCAGCTTCTCCTCTCATTTGCATGGATGAGACTCAAGGAGTTATACTGATGTAAGCGAGAGGACAATAAGGTTTTACAAGTCTTTTAATTACAGATCAGGGCAGGGAAGAATTTACATTAGAGGGCAAAAAAGATTTGGGAACGCCAACTAGTTTGGAAAATTAATTAAAAAAATAGTTTTAAGAGGTTTGCAAAACCTCAACCCTCACCCCCAGAGGATCATCCAGTTCTGTCTTAAATTAACTCACATGAGTTATGGGGAACGTATTATTAACTCTTTGGAAACTGTAGCTGAATGTACACACTGCCCCAATCCAACTCTCATTAAAGTCAAAGGGAGTGGTCGCTGTCTGTTCTTTCACTGTACTGGAAGCTGGATGAGCCCTTAGCATTTATTATCTGGAATAAAAAGACTCTACGGGTTAGATGCATTCAGAAGTATGCTTGGCACCTTCTAGTTGGCAGGAATGTAATCTGCATAGCCCATGTAATCCAGTGAGAGAGAATGGCAAAGTGGTTCAGAGACAGTGAGATCTGCTGTGAGCATTCACTGGAAACCCCAGCGTGAACCCAGCATTGAACTGATTTCTGAGGTTGAAAAATGGGGTAGGTAGTTATTTCACAAAATAATAATAATCACAAAAGGCCTGAAATGAAACAAAAAGAGGCTGTTTTGAGAGTTAAACTGGCTCAGTTGGAAGTAGGAATTGTTGGACATCTCATGACAGAGAAAAAGGAGAGTCTGTTAGTCTATAAGGTGCCACAGGCCTCTTTGAGAGTTTGAATGTGATTTCTAATCCAGAAAAGTTGGCGTAAACTTTGGCCTCTGAGGTTTTCACAAACAAATCTCCAAACTTTTTGAAGTTCACCATCGCTCAACTTCAGAGACCTCACACATGTTGGTGAGTGCGAACATGTTGCTGCTTTGTATTAATGTTTACACATGTCCCCCCATAGGGTTATCTCCATTACAAAATGAACTAACACGCTTCCTTATCCCCTACTCCCCAACCATCTGCACATTTCATTAATTCTAAAATCTCTTACCTGGACCACAGGATGGCTCCCCGTTGGTGCTTTGACTGCCCCTCGACTCCCCTCTGTTTCATAGTGTGCCCGATGGTGAGGTTTTGGCTGCACTTCAATGCGCAATTCATAAGAGCCAGACTGATTGGAGAGTGGCCACTCAAGAGGTGGGAGGGATGCAACAGGTACGCTGGACAGGAAAAGATCAGGCAGTTTGAAAAACTCTATGAGATATACGTGTGATGCTGGCAAACCAGCTAACCAACAAACCCATAACAACTTAACAAGAGGCATTGCAATTGTAATCATGACAATTCACTTGTGTGTGAATATCAAAGAGACGTAAGTAGACCAGCAATCACTAACCCATTCATCTTTAGTAACAGGAATCAAGGGAGATGCTAAATGTATTTGACTGTATACCTATATCCTGGAGAAGTTTCCAGTGTAACCAAATTAGCGTGTAGATGCTAAGTCCCTTTCATGTCTTAATTGCCTTTACATCATGTATGAAGTGTGTTCAGTCAACATTAAGATCAAAGATGTGAGACACTGCATGAAACGAATAATATTACGTATATTGTTTTCAGCTTATCTATCCCTGTAATAATGAATGACAGGCAGTTGCCTTATGTAAATCAGGCTACCTGGGTTACCTGTGGATGCATAGGAAATAGAATGTTAATTTCCAAGTGATGGGTCAGTGTGCATTCAACAAAGAAGGATCCGCAGTCACATGCTGCACTCATCACACTTGACAGTCTGTTTCAGTTATAAAAGAAAGCTCAGACCCGATCCTGCTATCTCTGGTCTGCTGAACTTTTAACAGGGAAAGTTTAAGCCGTGGCACTGAGATCTCCAAGTAGTTACTTGGAATGCCCTGGAAAATGCATGGAAAGGCTCTCACAGACTCTACATCTAAGCTGCCCTTTGGGTTCTAACCTTTTGGGCTGATTCCTGAGAGACTTGTGTGCACGCCAGCAGATTCACCATCGCAGCTACAGCTCTGATCTAAGGACTGTGCAATCACTTGTAATGCATATGATCCTTTTCACCATTTAATAACTCTCTTCTTTTTTATTATTAATAAATCTTTAGTTACTTTACTGAGGATTGGCTGACAGCATGATATTTGGGTTAGATCTGAAATATCTGTTGACCTGGGGTTAAGTGTCTGATCCTTTGGGAATGGTAGAACCTCATGTATGGTGAATTGGGTTTTCAGTAACCTCTCATCATAAAGACAGTTGTCTGGATGGTGAACTAGGGGCTCAAATGCCTAATGGGGACAGTGTTTTGGCTTGTTGTTAACGGAAGCTCATTTTGTTATTGGTCTGGTAAATCTAATCATAGAATAAACCACCAGTTTTTGGGGTGTGTCTCCCCTGTTTCTTGCAGTCTGCCCTGAGTGTTGCACTTTCAGTTGTGATCCACTTTAGGCACTGGTCACAGTAGGTACTCATAAAAGTACTTGTAAACACTTCCTCTCCCTAGGTCTAAGGTGCTGTGGGTGAACTCCTGGCCCAACTGAAGTCACTGGGAATTTTGCCATTAACTTCAATGGTGTCAGGACATTACCTTGTACCCTTAATTACAAATGCCACCAAAATCTAGGATTAGCAAATCTTTCTGCAAATCACACTCCAAGCAGAGACACGGTAGATTCCTAATAAAATTGTTTAATGGAGAGTGTGCACTTATATCTGATCTTTGCCATGCACCTTAGATTTTAATAATTTACCGTGAAATAATAAATCTCCATTTACTTAGTTCTGTAAACCGTGTTTTTTGTTTTTGCTTATATAAAAAGAACAAAGTGATGTATAATATACATGAAAACAAAGGTAATAATGCACAAAAACACTAATAAAATGCTAATGTTTCTTACCAGATACTACATTTCCCTGTTATTAAAGTACAGGAAAATCTAATATTATAAAATTACAGTAAGAGAAAATATGTTCAGTGCTGGCAATGGATCTTAACCAACTATTACCTCATTGAGATAAACTTCAGCAAAGACTCCTCTGATCAGACAACCCATAGAATTTAATGTCCTATATATTTTTGCATTAGATTTGTGGTTACTAGAGGACAATGTGTTAAATCACACAGGGTCCAAGTCTGTGGGCTGCTGAGTAGCTTCAGTTCCCACTGGAATCACATCAGTGAGACTTGAGAGCATTCAGTACCACAAAGGATTGAATCCATAATTTCCAAATACATCACCGCATATTGAGGCACCAATCCTAAAGCATGATCTGAGGCAAAGTAACTTCACACAAGGACCAACACTGTTGAATCATACTGCAGGATTGATGGCCTTATACTTTAAGCTTCTTGGGAGGGAAACAGTATTCGTCTTTGAAGCGTGCCAGTGGCGCTGAATAAATTACATACAGTGCTTCCACTGGTAAAGTCGATCTGTTTATACGACTCTTTACAGCAATGCAGCGTATCTGTAAAGAATTTGATGAGAGTCAAGGAATAAACCTAGCAAGTGAAAATACAAAAACGTGAAAAGTACAACATACCTGCAGATGGGTATTGCAGGCACCAGCTGCTTTGGCCAAGACGGAGGTACTAACAAAATGGATTCAGGTGCTGAGTTTCTCCTGTCTTCCTGATCACAAGGCCCAAGGTAATCAACGGTCTGAAAGAATGCTGGAATGCTGTTTTTGTGGGAAGGCACTGATGGGGGATCAGGGCTGGTTTTCCAAATTTTCATGGGAACACCACAGGGAGGATCCGTGCTAAGGTTGTTCATAGCATCCATGAGACTAGAAGAGCTGGGCAACTGGGTGTAAGTGAGCAAAGAGCTGTCTTCTCTCAAAGGGATGTGAGGAGAGGCTTGTGGAGAAGGGGTCCTTGACTGTCGTGGAGAAGTGGAAGGCGGCTGAGTGTTGTAGAGCTCAGTGCAAGAGTACCTCCGTTTTGCACCTGGCGATGAAGACCTTGAGTTGGGACGGGGTGATGGTGAATGTGGTCCCAAGCAGGTATCCTCCGTGATGCTTGTTCGTGGTGACATTATTGGCGAGGTTCTAGGGGAATAATGAGTATGGATGTTTTGAAACTGTGGACAAAGGTCATCACTAGGGCCATTATTTGGTGAAACACATGGTGATGTGTAAGGAGAGAAATTTGTCTCTGAAATGAAACTTGCAGATGAGCCGCTACTAGCTGGGCTCAAACACAGCGGTTCTCTGTAGCCCTCATGGCCAGGGACAGGCAGTGTAAACCTTGGGCTAGCGGTGGCTGAGTTGGACTGATGTTCTACCAAAAGATCTGTGTCTCTGATGTGCAAGGGAACCCTTGGATTAGTCAGTTCATGGGATGGAGTGATTTCAATCCTAGGGCTCAAAGCAGAGGCCCCAGACTTTACAGGGTCCAAGTTGCATTTTGACCCTATGCTATCTGGCTGTCCATATCTGCCCATGTGATCTGCAGAAAGACTAGGAAAAGCCAGGGGGCTGTATGGCTTGAGGCCATAGTCCAAGACATCATCATGAGGGTATGTAACTCCAGTGGGTGGGCTGTTGGTTTTATGTGAAGGAGTCGATTCTTCTGGAAAAAGAAGGGTCTCTTTAAGACTATAGATATTACTACAGAAGCTGAGCAATCATGGATTAAAAAATGCATATTGATAAAATGGATGTGATCTGGTATTAGGTGAATAGTAAGTTGTTGTTTTTTACTATTTTTTACTGCAGTTAGTGCATGTGAAAGGTACTGGATTAACAGCTCAGGAAGCTTAAATCCTCAGAACAGGCACAGGATGGACAGTGACACTGCAAACTTCTCCACACTGTCCTGCCAATCTACTGCTACCTGAACCCTGACGTGGGGTCACCTGTGGGGGTGAGACGGTAGTTCAGTTTCCATGCCTGTTTAATCTTTGGCCTCTCTGCTGACACTGCCAACAGGGTACAAATTAATGCCAATTGTGGTGATGTGATTTTTGTATATTTTTATCTGTCAGGAGCTGGACTGAGACTTAACATGTCACAAAACCAGATCCCAAAGGGACTGAATAAAACTAAAAGACAAAAAAGTGTTTTTCCATTTTCTCATATAGCAAAGTCTAGGTCAAATATGCTTCATGAAAACAAAATTCAACACAAATATATAAATTACCAATTAATTCTGTTTTCACAGTGTGGTTGTAGCCTTCTAGGTCCCAGGACATGAGAGAGACAAGGTGGGTGAGCTAATATCTTATTGGTGGAAGAGACAAGCTTTTGAGCTCCACAGAGCTCTTCTTCAGGCCCGGAAAATGTAACCAGAATGTTTCCGTGTCAACACCTGTACCTTTGAGAACGAGGACTGAGCTATCAATCCATATCTAACCTGACACTAAAAATCATAGTCTCAACAGAGACACTGGCTTTATGGCTCATTACAACAATTTGTAACCTACTAAGCCTCTTTTGTCCTGTGACTGCAGAAGTGTTAATTGCCCACTTCATTTTCAGTGGTTTATTGCAACCATATGCTTAACAATCTGTCCAACCTTGTATTTAGCTGTGACACTCTGGCAGCAGCGGCTCCAGGCACCAGCGCTCCAAGCGTGTGCCTGGGGCGACAAGCCGCAGGGGACGCCCTGCCGGTCCCTGTGAGGGCGGCAGTCAGGCAGCCTTCGGCGGCATGCCTGCGGGAGGTCCGCCGGTCCCGCGGCTTCGGCGGCAATTCGGTGGTGGGTACGCCAAATCCGCGGGACCGGGGACCTCCCGCAGGCATGCCGCCGAAGGCTGCCTGACCACCGTGCTTGGAGCGGCAAAAAAGCTAGAGCCGCCCCTGCACTCTGGTTACCAAAAGAAGAGCTCTGTGGAGCTCAAAAGCTTGTCCCTTCTACCAGTGGAAGGTCCATTAAAAGATATTGCCTCACATAGCTTGTGTCGCTCAATAATTCTGTGTGACAGCTTATTTGGCTTCATATTTCCTCAACAAAGCATGCAATAAGTCTCAAACAAGTGAGCACGAGTAATCAGAAAACATACTGTACAGTTGGTATTTAAAAATTAAATATGTACAAGGAAGCCAACCTATTTCTTATCCGGGCAAATTATTTCTTGATTTCAAGTCAAAGAGCATTTGGTCTTTATAAGGAGTACATGGTTCGGCAGAAGACGTCAAGGCTCAATCCTAGAATCTTTGCTTATGCAAGTAGGGTTGCAGGCCAAAGCCTATCATTATCTAAGAATCTAGATTGAGTGGGATGCTCAGGGGCTGCAAGCCACAGTCCCCGCTCTACTGCCTTTGAAGTCAATAGCAAAACTCCCATTGATGTCAATGGGCCTGATTCTGATTTCACACAGGGGTTCACCAGTCCACTGCCATCAGCTTCCGTGGAATTACTCCTGAATAGCATCTGTTAGTGAGAGCAGAGTCATGCCCAATGAGAGCAGCACCCGACCCCCAGACTTAATGAACACACATATGTTAGCTGCAGTGCTGATATAGTTTCACCAAAGTGACACCTGAAAGACATTTATTCACTGAACAAAATGATAGAAAATATAATAATAATTTCTACATTTGTCTTTAAGTGATAAGAGGCATGGACAAGAGGAATATTTTTTAAGGTTCTGATTAATTTGGCATTCAGTGGTCAGAATTACACTGTAATTATGGATTAATTGGCTCTCTGAATTCACCCTGGGGCATACAGCTGTACGTATTGCAGGCGAACAGCCCATCATTAAAATATCTAACTAACTGTTCCACCTTATTCTCCTAGTCATTCCCAAACAGCACTCCACGCAAGAGACCAGTATTACATATGTAATGCGGGAGGCACCAATTGTGCATCTTACAAAAGTAGTGTATGTTTTTCCATGAAATGTTTGCTCACCCTCTTACACACACAGTTACATTTTATTTCAAGGGAATTTTTCACATCCTTTAGTATTTCTTTTTTCCCGATACAATGCCAGTTTTGCATTGAAAGCATGCAGGAATTCAAAAGTTGGCTTCCCTGTTTCAAATCTTTACTTATAAAGGCAAATTCATTATTCCTCCACTTTCCCAGATCACTTTCCAAGTGAAAAAAAAATTATAAAATGCTCTGAGTTCCTGGTAAAATGACTCTTTCTAGTTTGCTACAAAACATGACCCCCACTCAAAAAAACCCCAAAATACCAAAAACCGCTAATTTTGACTAGTTCTGCTTTTTTGTTCTGCACATTTTGCACAGCCTCTGGGATGCTGCATTTAAACCGAAATTCTGTGTGGTTTTTTCCCCCTTATCTTTTATGCCTCAAAAATGCCTGCCAAATGTTTATTTGACAGAGCCACAGAAGGCTCTCAGTGTCCCACTTGCAGATTTCTTCAGGCTCCTGTTAGCAGTTGCCTTATTTCATCACAGTAAATGGATGATTATAGGGATAACAAATTAGAAGTAACTAAATCTTGAGCCAGATACATTTTGGCATTGTTGATCTCAAATTTCAAATCTTTGGTATCCATGAAAACTGACTGTCATCCAGATCACCCAAGTTCTGTGGCACCTAACCCCAGAGACTGATCCTACGCATCATTTCATACAAGAGGAACTCATCCCACACCACTACTGTACAAGGCAACATGCCCCTTCTCATTCATACAAAATGTCCCTTTCTTTGATTTCAGTGGAATTACTCCTGATTTACATTGGTGTAAGTAGGAGCAAAATCAGCCCCACAACTAGAGTGACCAGATGTCCCGATTTTATAGGGACAGTCCTGATTTTGGGGTCTTTTTCTTATGTAGGCTCCTATTACTCCCCACCGCCTGTCCTGATTTTTCACACTTGCTGTCTGGTCACCCTACCCGCAACTAGAGCAGGACCTGATCTCAACACTATAGGAACTTAAACTTCTACATTGTCTCAGTAATCATGGAATGGTTCTCTAGGCTGACCAATTTCACACCAAGGAACAGTAAAATGATTGCATGTTTCAGTTCCCAGATCAACTATGGCCCCTACCATACATAGCAATACGATATGGGCACATAGACAGATGATGAGATAGCACAATATGGAAGTGTTACAATTCCTGGCCCCAGAGCCTTAGCTAAATTTGTTAAGTGGTGCAGTTTTTCAGGAGAGAGAGAGAGAGAGTGTGTGTGTGTGTGTGTCATGAGGGCAGTAAAGAAATTGTCCTATATATGGAATTTTCAAAGATGCTTCTGCTAACAGACCTCACCCCTTCGCATGTTTTTAAACTGAGCTGCAGAGATCTAATAAAGACTAATTTTAATTCACACATGAATAAATGTTGAAGAAATATTAATACAATAAAATTATTGTGGTGAGCATCATTCTAAGATCACTTTGCTTATTATTAAAATACTTCAACAGCCACTTTCACCCTTACCAGCCACTTTTACTACAGGGTCAAGCAGGGGAATTCACATTCCTGCTATTATTCACAGCAACAAGCAACAACATGAACCTAGATTCATATAGCACTTTTCATCCTCAGACATTCCAAAGATCTTTACAGACTGTATATACTGAGCTCGCGCACCCACCGTGAAAACGTGGCAGGCATTCTGTGCCAGCAACACTACACACAATGAAAATTAAAACCATCTGTAATTTAACCTGCATAAGTTATCGATATAGCAGGCAGCATCACTGGAATCTGATCAAGGCACTAAGCAGAACATCTCTGAACGTCACCTTGAAAAAAAAATGCCCGAGGATCTTCACTGACCAAAAAAAAATGGCTAAGGCCTCAGTATTACCTCTCATGCAAAAGAGATCACCTCCAGCAGCACAGTGAACTCCCTAGAACCACCCTGGTTTATTGGCTCAATTCTGCCTCAGAGGGAAGACTGCCACTCACTGAATCAACATAACTTCCTGCAGTACCTAGGTTTTTCTTGGAGTTTTCCCATCCAAATCCCAACTCTGCTGAGCTTAGGAGATGCAATGAAATCACTGTCTGAGGTGGTATGGCTATAACCCATGTGTTTGTGACATCACAGTCTGTCGCCATAGAAATGATTGTGATGTTACAAATACAGCATTGTGACTTTGCTGCAGGAAGGAAGAGGA